TCACGACTCCGAAAGTGGCAAAATTGGGCGGTTGGCAGAATGCTTCCAAATTCTCAGAGTTTGCTGAGGGAGGGCTCCCGATACCCAGCCTGCATCGGTGCCTCTGCCGGAGCCCTAGAAGGGGTGTCTGGGGAAGGTGAGCAAAATCTTTCCGAAATGCCGAAAAAGGGCCCGAGATGCTGACCCGCGGGTCACGACTCCGAAAGTGGCAAAATTGGGCTGTTCGCAGAATGCTTCCAAATTCACAGAATTTGCTGAGGGAGGGCTCCCGATACCCTGCATGCGTCGTTGCCTCGGCCGGAGCACTGCAAGTGTTGTCTAGGGTAGGCAAGCAAAATCTTTCCGAAATGCCGAAAATAGGCCCGAGATGCTGACCCGCGGGTCACGACTCCGAAAATGGCAAAATTGGGCGGTTGGCAGAATGCTTCAAATTCACAGAGTTTGCTGAGGGACGGCTCTCGATACCCTACATGTATCGGTGACTGTGCCGGATCCCTGGATTTGGTGTCTTGGGAACGCGAGCAAAATCTGTCCAAAATGCCGAAAAAAGACCCGATATGCTGACCCGGAGGTCACGACTCCGAGAGTGGCAAAATTGGGCGGTTGGCAGAATGCTTCCAAATTCTCAGAGTTTGCTGAGGCAGGGCTCCCGATACCCAGCATGCATCGGTGCCTCTGCCGGAACCCTGGAAGGGGTGTCTGGGGAAGGCGAGCAAAATCTTTCCGAAATGCCGAAAATAGGCCCGCGATGCTGACCCGCGGGTCACGACTAGAAAGTGGCAAAATAGGCGTTTGGCAGAATGCTTCCATATTCACAGAGGTTGCGGAGGGAGGGCTTCCGATACCCTGCATGCGTCGGTGCCTCTTCCGGAGCCCTGGAAGGGGTGTCTGGAGAAGGCGAGCAAAATCTGTCCAAAATGCCGAAAAAAGGCCCGAGATGCTTACCCGGAGGTCAAGACTCCGAAAGTGGCAAAATTGGGCTGTGGGCAGAATGCTTCCAAATTCACACATTTTGCTCGGGGAGGGCCCCCGATACCCTGCATGCATCGGTGCCTCTGACGGAGCCCTGGAATTGGTGTCTGGGGAAGGCGAGCAAAATCTGTCCATCCTGCCGAAAAAGGGCCCGAGATGCTGACCCGCGGATCACGACACCGAATGTGGCAAAATTGGGCGGTTGGCAGAATGCTTCCAAATTCACAGTTTGCTCGGGGAGGGCCCCCGATAAACTGCATGCGTCGGTGCCTCTGCCCGTGCCCTGGAAGCGGTGTCTGGAGAATGCGTGCAAAATCTGTCCAAACTGCTGAGAAAAGGGCCGAGATACTGACCCGCGGGTCACGTCTCCGAAAGTGGCAAGATTGGGCGGTTGGCAGAATGCTTCAAATTCACAGAGTTTGCTGA